GCGGGGGCGTGGCTGCTGAAGCCGAGCTGGGCAGAGGCGTCTGCGGCGGCAGGCGCGTGTGGTGGGTGTGGGTGGGTGGGTGGGTGGGTGGGTGGGGAGAGAGAAGGGGGCAGGCTCTACGCTGCGGCATGGGCCCGCCCTGGACGCATCCCTCTGTCCCCGCCCCCCCCCCCTTCCCCTCCGGCAGGCGCGTGGCTGCCCGAGGAGGCGCACGAGCTCTTCTCCGCCGGGGAGGCGACTGCGCCGTGCGGCAGTACGGGGCTGCTTCTAGGAGCCTTCTAGGAGCCTTCTAGGAACCTTGTAGGCGACTGCACCGTGCGGCAGGGGGCTGCTCTGGCTGGGCGCGCCGCGGGCGCACCGGCTGGCGCGGCCGCAGCGCGGCGGCGGCGTCTTCGTCGGCCAGACCTTCGCCCTCGATCCAGAGGTCGTGCCACCGCCCGCGCAGCTACGACGCATCATCGAGGCGGGCGGGGGGGCCGTCCTGGAGCAGGGCGCGCCGCTGCGCGTGGGCGCCATCGCCGTCGTGCCAGACGGGGCGGACGCATCGCACCCGCTCGCCCAGGAGGCGCGTCTATTCCCCTCCCGCCCGCCCGACACCCTCCCAAAGGGTCCTCCTCACCCCTCGCCGGGGTGAGTTGGTCGAGACTCGCACACTTCGCACTAACCCGCGCTCCTGCAGACACCCTGCTCCGTCACAAACTCTTCTGTTCTTCGTGTCTGGCGCAGGCGACGCGCGCGCAGGCTTCGCGAGTGGGGCCGAATGAGCTGCTCGGGCGGCTGGTCGGCTTGGGTGTCGCGTCACTCGCAGGATGAAACTGCTTGCCTGCTACATGTGTACTGTACAGTAGCGGTACTCTACGTCTCAGGTCGCACAAACGTGTGGAGCTACGTACATCATGATTCATGTCTCTATACACACATGAACATCTCCCCCCGCCACATGCACATCTCCCCGGGAGCTCCGGCGCGTGGGCTTAAAGCCACACGGCAAGCACACACATGTTTGACATTCCCTTACTTGCTCTCTCACATGTCTGCGTGCCGGGGACTCCGTGCCGAGAGCGCTCGAGCCGAGGAGCGAGGTCTGCCCGTGCCGCGCGTGGCGCGTGCGCCGGTGCGCGGTGCACAGACAGAGTCCACCCGTTTCGGGCTTCGCGACTCAGCACAGCGACCTCTCTCTCCGGGTTTGCAGGGTTGCTGGCCGTATGTTGTGCTGCATGAACAGTGTGGTGCCAGCGCGCCATGTTCGCCGCGCTGCTGCGCCCGCTCAGCGTCGCCGTAACACTGCACATGCACGTTAGCCGCACAGCTGTCGTACACGATCATAATTTTGTTGATGTTCCGGTCACGGTTGAAGAGGAGAGCAGTCTTACTGTCCGCACGCATCTTTTCTTTCAGACGTCGATTTCTGTTCTCAGTGGTCTCTGCCTGATGACTCTTTACTTGCGCTTCCTCCACAACATCTTACTCTTCAGGCGCGGCGTGGAAGGTGGCGCTTGGCGAACGCCCGGATGGCGCTCGTGGCAAACGCTGTCCTCTGTGATGGTGGTTCTTTCAGTCCTGTCCGCATTTGTCACAACCGCCGCTCTCACGGTACTGCTGCAGGGGTCGCTGACTGGGAAGCTGGTCTTGGTGGCACCAGAGATCGCAACCGCCTCACTGCTATTGCTTCTAATCCTTGCTCGGACCGCCTGGAAGGCGTGCCAGGACAAGAGTGATCGCCAGCTTCTGGGACAGGCCTCGGCTCGGGGCTCCTCGCGGGTTCGGCGAGGAGGATACACCTGCAGGCTGGGGGAGAGCCCTATCTTCCCCCGTCGCCTCGAGCGGCAAGTCGCCTTCCTCGTTGGGCGCTTCTCGCGACACGCGCCGCGCTGGCAGCTCGTCTGCTCGTCATCAGGCTGCGACAGTTCATGCTGATCGTTGTCGCCGCAGCCGGGGGCTTGGTTCCAGACTCGCCCCTCACCAGCCGTTTGGCGGGCCTCGCCGCGCTATCGCTGCCGTCGCCATTGCCGTCACCTTTGCCTTTTGGTTTCTACACGCCCGCACCCTACCCTTCGCCTACCGCTTTCAGAACGCGCTCGAGTCGTGGCTCTACTTTGCCACGACTCTACTCCTCGCCCTCGCCGCAGTCTACGCCGAGCTGCCCCAGGAGCCCGCCTCCTTGCGGATCGGCATCGAGGTGCTCATGGCCGCCGTCCTGCTCGGCAGTCTCGTCGCCGGCATCGTCTTCTCGATCCGCGACCTGCGGCGGACGCGCCGCGCGCTCGTCGACGTCGACTTCTCCGCCGCCCTCTGCGCCGCCGACTCCAGGATTGACAGCTTGCTCGCCGATCGCCTTCGCGATGGCTCGGCGCGCCTGCTTCGCTGCAGCTGGCTGTCCTCTCCCGCGGCCTCTGGAGCTGTCATCATGAGGCGGAGGCAGGACCTGCCGCCGGTGCGGACGTCTTCGTGCCGTGCGACGAGGCGGCTGCCATGCTCCTGCGTGGCGACCGCTCGGTCCTCGCCCTCTCCAACGGCTGGCTGACGGCTCTGCACCCGGAACCTCACGGCACTACCCTCGCCGCCGTCCGACGCTTCCTCCTCTTTGACACGGCGGCGGCTGGCGATGCGGGGCTCTTCTGGGACTTTGCCAGCTTGCCGCAGCGAGGGCCGAACGGGGAGGCTAGAACAGAGGAGGAGAAGCGAATCTTCAACAGGGGCCTCGAAGTGATGGGGTCCTTCTACGCGAGCGTCACCGGCACCCCTGTCATTCAGCAGCGCGACATCGTCCTGCCTCCCGGCGCGCCTACCGGCGTTGGGGCGTACAACCCGACGCCATATGAGGGCGACGGTGGGCGTGGCTGGTGCATCTTTGAGCAGGGCGAGGCAATGACGGTGCTGGCGCACTTGGCGGCGGCGGAGAGGCAGGCGGCGGAGATGGGCAAGGCGCTGCCAGAGCGCTTCCGGAAGGGGCGCAGGCGGCCCGCGCAAAGGTGTACGACATCGGGGGGGCGGCGCCGATGGCGCGCGAGAGGGGAGGAGAAGACGGAGCAGGAGAAGCTCTTCTTTCAGAGGGGCCTTGACGTGATGGGGTCCTTCTACGCAAGTTTCAGCATCGCGACATCCGAATCCCTCCTGGCGCAACCACTGGAATCGGAGCTTATAACGCAACGCCGTATGAGGGCGAGGGCGGCCGCGGCTGGTGCATCTTTGAGCAGGGGTGTGCAATGACGGTATTGGCGCATCTAAAGGCAGCTGAGTGTCAGCAGGAGGTGAAGGGCAAGGCGCTGCCGGAGCGCTTTCAGCGGGCGCAGGCGAGCCGCGCAAAGGTGTATGACATTGCAGGAGAGCCGGTGGCACGAGAGTGCTCCTTGCCGCCAAAGGAGGTGTGCTTGACGACGCCGGGCGATTGAGAAGGCGCGCTTCACCGGCGAGGCGGACAAGGAGATAGTGCCGCAGATGCTCGCTGAGTTCGAGTGGCTCTTCCGTAGCACTTTTGAGTGGGCGCTCGAGGACCACGCCGCGAGTGGAGCGACAATTTGCGCGAAAGGAGTTCCAAGAGGTTCTGGCGGCGGCTGGAAGCCAGTCTGTCAGAACACCGGCTGCGAGTGCGTCAACAGAGCAGGTGGTTTGAGGGCGTTGAGGACTTGCACTTGGATTGACGCTGCACGCTGGGCCCTTACGGAAGAGCAAGAGGCCAGCGCAACCGGCTGTGATGGGTAGAGACAGCCGTAAAGTACTACTTAGAGCTCGTGGGGTGCAGATCTCATCAGCCCGCCCCCCCGCCCCCCCTCCCCCCACACACACAGCATCGGCATCGGCGTTGAAGGGAAGGCGGAAGGGGCGCCGGCGGCCACCGCGTTTTGTGTTCGGGTGAATCTCGGGATGCACATTTCACAATCTGTGGCGGTGGTTGCAGCTTTCTGTCTTTCGATAGCACGCACCGCGGCCGCTTAACGCCTCCACAAACGCCACACAAAGCTACCGTCCTGGATGCGCCTCTCGCCACTCTCGAATCTGCCGGCGCAGGATATGGCTGGGGAAGAGCCGAGTGAACTCGAGCTCCTCGCCCGTCATCGGGCTCGTCGACTTGGTCGCGAGCCAGCGATCGATCGCCGTCCGCTCGTAAGCATGCCCGTCCGCCGCCATCACCGGGTCGCTCATGACCTCAGTCGTGATTGGGCAGATGAAGTCGGCCGGCGGCTCCTCCTCCTCCACCGAAGGCGGCCTCTCTGCAGCCAAAGAGGACACTTGCTCGTTGGGCGCCCGCCTCTCCTCCTCGAGCCTCGCACTCTCCTCGAGCGCCGCCGCCAACTCGGCCTGCTCCGCCGCCGGCAGCGCTGTATCACCCTCAGGCTCCCGCGACGGCCCAGCGCCGCCCCCGACACCCTTGCCCTTCTTCTTCTTCTTCCCCTTCTTGTTGTCACGCTCCCCCGCCTCCTTCTCCGCCTCCTCTTCCGCCAGCAGCGCCTCGGCATGCCGCGCCGCCTCCGCCTCTGCCGCCGCTCTCTCCGCCTCCCTCGCCGCTGCATCCGCCTCCCTCGCCGCTGCCTCCGTCGCCGCCTCCGCCGCCGCGTGCTCCTCGAGGGCGCGCACGCACTCGGAGTGGCCCTTCTCCTTGGCATACTGCAGCGCGGACTTGCCCTTCGCATCGCGCAACTTCGTCTCCGCGCCCGCCCGCAGCAAGCGGAGCACGATGGCGAGGTGGCCTTGGCTGGCAGCGCACAGCAGCGCGGTGCCGCCTTTGCTGTTCTTGTCGACCTCCGCGCCGCGCTGGATCAGCAAGTCGACCACCCGCTCCTGGCCGTTGACAGCGGCGACCATCAGCGCGGTGCCGCCGTCGCTGTTCTGCAGGTCGACCTCCGCGCCTCGCCGCAGCAGCAGCTCGACCACCCGCACTTGGCCTTGGTGGGCGGCAGCCGCCAGCGTGGTCCAGCCGTTGCTGTTCTGCTGGTCGATCGCCGCGCCGCGCTGAAGCAGCAGCTCGACCACCCGCTCGTGGCCGCTGGCAGCGGCGGCACCTAGCGGGGTCTCACCGCCTAGCTTGCAAGAAGCATTGACCCGCCCGCCGCTTTCGAGCCACGCCAGCAGCGCCGCCTCGTCGCCTCGCCCGGCCGCGGCCACCGCCGCTGTAACGCTGCCCAGCTCCCTGCCCAGCTCCCTGCCCAGCTCTGTAAGGCTGCCCAGCTCCGCCTCTGTAAAGCTGGAAGAGACCGCTTCGCCCGAGGAAGCGCTGCCTGCGCCGCCCGCCGCCGCCTCGCGCTGTCTCGCAGTCACCTCCGCGATGTGCTGCCGGAAGGCGGCGACGCACGCGATGTGGCCCTGCTCCCTGGCCATCTGCAGCGCGGACTTGCCGTCCGTAGTGCGCAACTTCGTATCCGCGCCCGCCCGCAGCAATTGGAGCACGACGAGGAGCTGGTCGGAGTAGGCGGCGACCATCAGCGCGGTGCCGCCGTCGCTGTTCTGCTTGTTGATCTCCGCGCCGCGCTGCAGTAGCAGCTCGACCACCCGCACTTGGCCTAGGCCGGCGGCGGCCGTCAGCGCGGTCTGGCCGGCGTTGTTCTGCAGGTCGACCTCCGCGCCGCGCTGGATCAGTACGTCAACGACCCGCTCGTGGCCGTTGCCAGCGGCGATTTGCAGCAACGTGAAACCCGCACTATCGAACGCGTTCACCTGCCCTCCGCTGTTGAGCCACGCCAGCAGCGCCGCCTCCTCGCCTCGCGCAGCCGCTTGCCTGGCCTCTTCGGGAAGGCTGCCCAGTGAGCCGGAATAGGGCGCGCCCGCCGCCTCGCCCGAGGGAGCGCCACCCGCGCCGCCCGCGCCGCCCGCGCCGCCCGCGCCGCCCGCCGCCGCCTCGCGCTGTCTCGCAGTCACCTCCGCGACGTGCTGCCGGAAGGCGGCGACGCACGCGGCGTGGCCCTGCTTCTTGGCCAGCTGCAGCGCGGACTTGCCGTCCGTAGTGCGCAACTTCGTATCCGCGCCCGCCCGTAGCAAGCGGAGCACGACGGCGGGGTGGCCGTTGCGGGCGGCGAACACCAGCGCAGTCTGCTTAGTGCTGTTCTGCTTGTTGACCTCCGCGCCACGCTGGATCAGCAAGTCGACTACCCGCTCCTGGCCGCTGCGGGCGGCGAACATCAGCGCGGTGACGCCGCTCACACCGCCTTTCCTGCAAGTCGCGTTGACCTTCCCGCCGCTGTCGAGCCACGCCAGCAGCGCCGCCTCCTCGCCTCGCCCAGCCGCTTGAAATGCCGCTTCGGGAAGGCTGTCGGTCTCCGGCACGATCGTTGCTAGCGCCATTGGCACCGTAAACTTTTTCAGTACGTACTTTTAGCTAACTAGCTGAGGGGCTCGCTAAAAACGCTCGCCGAGCTCCATGCTGTGCAACACCACCCCCCCTCACTAATCGTCAGGACGCGGAGAGGGTGGAGGCGGCGGCGAGGCGCGAGGCGGTGGCGGCGGTGGTGCGGGCGGCGGGATGACAGGGGAGGCGGCGGGATTGACAGGGGAGGCGGCGGCCACGAGCGGAGCGGCGCGAGAAGGGGGGGGGGGGGGGCGGCGAGGCGCCGGTGAGCGAGGCGCCCGCGCCATCAGAGGGACGCGCCGCTGCGAGATGGAGGGCGGCGGTGACGGAGGCGAGGCGCGAGGCGGCGGCGGCGGCGGCGGCGGCGGCGGCGGCGAACGGCGGCACCGAGTCCGAGTCGGTGAGCGGCGGCGGGAGGAGGAGCAGCGGCGGCGCTCGCTCGCTGTTGACGGGAGCGCTTTTGAGCCTGGGAGCCCATGCCACTGCGACCGGCGTGCCCGGGAACGGAGATCGCGCGCGCGCCGCCACTCACGACGCGCGCGCGATCTTCGCGGAGTCGGGTCCCCAGAGGGAAGCGGTCTTCTCGGCCGACGTCCAGCGGCGCGCAAGGAAGCAGGCGCAGCGGAGGCGGCCTAGCACCGGCTCGGCGCCGGGCGGTTGCGCTGCCCGCGAGCCGCGTCCTGAGCCTCGGCAGCGCGCTGCGCGGCGCGGCGCTCGCGCTGCTGCGGTGCCGAGAGCGGCATGATGGTTCGCCAGCTGAAGCTGGGTGGCGGCTTCACCAAAAGTCCGGCGCTCCGGCGAGTTCAGCCTTAATATTGTTAGACTGGGACAAAAGGGAGAGGGAGTTGTGTTCTCTAGGCCCCTAGGGGCCCGTGTGTGTGTCAGTGTATGTAGCTCTTACGTACATTCCCGTAGGAGGACTCTGCTGACAGTTTTTTGCTAGAACGGCGTGTTGAAAAGAATTTTCAAAACAACGAAGGCGCTCTTAAAAAGAATTTTCCGCGCGCGTTGAAAAATAAAAAACTCCCCCAAGTGCTCCAAGTAGCGGTTGAATCTGTGTCACACAGGACGCACCTCTAGTGAGGCCCGCATAGTAATGTGGGTGACTCCTGCCGCCGCCCCTGCCACCCCTGTGTCAGTGTGCCTGTGGTAGTGAGAGACTGCCAGCGGGAAGCTGGAGGCAGGTCACTAGACTGAGATGAGACCGCCAGTGGAGTTGGGAGCCCACCGTGCACCGCGCTGCGAGCCTGTCGTGTCCCTTGTGCTTGTCAGGAGCAGGAGAGCCCCACCTGTCCCCCTGATCGTCCTTCCAAAATCCTGCTCGTGCAGGTGGGGACCCTGTCCTCCTCCCCCATCCCTCGTCTGGGTTTGTCTGTTTTCTTTCTTTCTTTCTTTCTGAAGCTGAGAGAGATTTTTAAAGACCAACAAGAAATCACGACTCTCACAGTGATTTGGGCTCGGCAGCTTGTTAGCCCTCAGCCGAAGCTGGGGCCGGTCCGTAGCCGAGAGATCTGAAGCTGTGTCGCGCTGCAGGCCTGCCTGCAGCTCGCGGCGGCGGATGAGATCGCGACCGAGTCCGGCTCGCCACGGCGCCGGAGGACGCCGCCGTCGCGTAGACTCCCTTGCGTTACTACGTGCTTGCCCATGTTTGTAGCCTGACGTTTGTGCCCCGTAAAGAGGGAGATTCAAATAAATATTTTCAAAAGGCGCGATCGCGGCACGCGAAGACTGGTTGCAATCCCGCCGACCGCCAGGCCGCGGGATGATGCGTGCGTGGTCTTGTAGTGGGTATCGGAAGCGCCCAGACCCCCTATCTGGAAAAGGGGGCCGAACCCTCAGCATTACAAGGCGCCATTTGCGGCGGGCTTGTTCGTTCTCCACGATGGCTGCACCAGCCGCCACAGCAAGCCACACCGGTCACCACCTCTGGCCTATCGCAGCAAAGCCGGCGGTGCACACGGAGGGTCTGCGCCGTGCCGCCATCCTGATGCGGGGCGAGCCCTTTCGTTGGGGTGATGATCTTGAAGGCAGGCGGGCGCAGGCCAACGTGTACGCAACGATCCGAAGCCGCGTCATCGACCCGCTCTCCACCTCGTATGGCTTCGCCTACCTGCTGGCCGTCGACGAGCGGCGCGGGTACTCCGACGGTCTGTACCTACGGCTGCTCGAGTACGTTGGCAGCATCCCGGCCGTCTTTCTACGCGTGAAAACGTCCACACAGGCCGAAAACTACCGGGAGGCAGTGGCTGCGGGCTGGCCGGGCATGCAGGACGCGGACGTCGTGTTCGTGTTCCGGCACGACGTGTCAATCCAACGTGCCATCCACTCTTGGGGCTGCCCGCCCCTCGAGGCGGCCCTCGCGACTCAGATCCTCCTCCCGAGCCGCATCCCTGAGATGGGAAGCGTCAACGACCTCTACCAGATCGTGCCGCGGCAGCGCCTCGACGTCTTCTCGCGCCACTTCTTCACGAACCACTCCGCTTGCTTCGCGATCGGGATGAGAGGCTGGCAGGTCAACACCGGCCACTTTTGCCACAGAGTCTTTGATCGAGCGAACATATCCTACGCCACGTGCAACGCGACGGCACGGTATCCAAGATCGCGGGACAGGTTTCGTTCCTATTGGGACTACAGCACGCATGAGCTCTCTCGGTGTGGGACACTGCTAAGGGAGACCAACCCCTATCGCTGCGGAGGCAACACGAGAGGTTATCGCAATGCGAGCCGAATCGTTGAGCCGAATCGTTGAGAGTGATTCTAAGATCTGGTCGGAAGATAAGGTGCGCAGAACTTTCGTATCAAGGAGATACGCCAGGGGGCAACCCTCGATTGGTTTTTCCCCCACAGCTCTGGTTAAAAAGGGCCAAGCGGTTGAGGCGTCACTCGCCAGGGAGACGTGTCACACGAGCGGCTCTGAAATTATCACGGCAATGGCGCCCAGCGCAAATATCCCTCTCATTCACTGCCCACAGCCGGAATGTCTTATTTCTGTCTCGTGGTCGTGGCGAGCGATTTGCTGCGGTTCGCCGTGAGCCGCGCGAGGCCGCTCTTCCCCTTCTCGGGCACGCAGCGGCAGAGGCGCGTCGTCTTCGAGAAGGCCGCCTCGCACGTCGAGAAGGCGATGTCGGAGACGAGGCACTGCTGGTACGTGTCCAGCGCGGAGTCGTGCACGTACGCGGGCAGCTCGTCCCCCACCTGGTGGCCGCAGCCCGCCTCGCACGGGAAGTGGCGCGCCAGCGCCTCGCACGACATCACCCACTCCAGCTCGCGCGCCTGCGGGAAGCTCGCAGGAAAGGTGCTAGGAGAGGTCAGGGGGGGCGGGCCTGCTCGTCCGGCCCTCGCGCGCCTGGCACCGCATCCCCGCACCCTGACACGCGGCGGCGCACGAGGCGCCTGGCGCCGCCTTCACCTCGCGCCACGCGTGGGCCTGTGGAAAGGCTCCAAGGGAAGGCTCGGACAGAAGGCTCCTCTCCTCCCCCCCCTCCCCCCCGCCACGCGGCGCACCGCCCGAAACGCGTGCTGCGGCGGCAGCCACGGGCACTTTCGTCGGTCTGCGAGGACCAGAGTGGCGCCTACTCTCGGCTTGGTGCGTGATGAGTTCGCGGAGAAGGGCCAGACTAGCGCCGACTCCGCAGCTCGCAAGGCGGGGGGCGGGGGCGGGG